ATATTTTCTTAATTTATTACAACCAAAGTTATGTAAATATGTATTACTAATTTTCCTCCCAAACTAACAAAAAAATATAAAAATCCCTAAAAATACGAAAATTCATGTTTTTATGATAGGCTAGATTTCAATGTCCTCAACTGTATATTGAAAACACAAATGTCATTTGACTTATGGCATGTGAATTTGTGGTTGCCACATCCAACAAATTGTACTTATTGATCAATATTATTGAAGATTTGACGAAGATTTAACTTAAATCTACTGCCTTTCGAGATTTAATTTTATATGATAAATCTCAAAAGATTTAACGTCAAATCTCGTCAGAGGGCTAAATCTTCATTAAATCTCACAATGGAGACATAGTATTACTTTCTGTGGAAAATTCCATCGCATAAAAATCATATTTTGCTTTGTTTAATTTACAGCGAAGTTGAGGTCAATAGTGGTGGAAAACTATCGATAGTCGCCTATTTGGAAAAGATAGAAATCTAATTGGGGCGTGTTCATAGTCAAAATTAAGCTGGTACTTAAAGTTGGTTGTAACTTTATTCACAGATAGCCCATCCAAAATTATGTCAAAAAGGTACAACTCACTTTAAGTGCCAACTTAATGTTGACTATGAATACGCCCCCATTGCGTTAAATATAGTTTTTTGAAGACCATAAGGACCTACCTTAATAATGAAAGTATTATTTATTAAACATTTTTAAGTTTTAGTTGCGATCTTTTTTCGTTTACTGTTAAAGCTNAATTATTTAAGAAACATTTTTAAGTTTTAGTTGCGATCTTTTTTCGTTTACTGTTAAAGCTGCTTTACTGTACATTCGTTCCGATTCTACTGATGATGTTAGGCCAACATAGTTGCCATATATTCCTTTATATAAAAGTATTGCTTGCCGCTTTATAAAATGCACATTCACCATTTTGGTGTTTTAAATTTAAAAATTTTCGATAGTTTTGAAAAAAAAAAAACCAAAACCATCGATTGTACCATCAATAGTTTGCCACCACAAGAGATCAGTCACTGAAGTGATGTACCTGAGTGGGTCGTACAATTTTAAGTTTAATTAAATATGTATGTTTGTACATACCGATTTTTAAGTAAGATCAAAATACCTAAATACATACACACATATGTACGTATAAAAACTGATTAATAAAAATTTTAATTAATTTTAACATTTTAAGACAATCTTTATTTTCTGTTTTCTATGTATGTAATTTACAAAAGTATGTACTTATCTAGGCATTCTACATTAGTTTCTCTGTAAGTCATTCTTTGTTCGCTTCTCTGGTACAGAGAGGCAAAAAACATTATAAAAAGAATATCGAGGGCTTATATTCAATGTTGACCTTGTTTAACGCTTGACATTAGAATTTATGTACTATTAAATTGCAAAGTTAGAATTAACATCAGTGATGATAGGTAGGCCCAGATGGGTTTCAACATCACAAAGTAGTTTTTGTGAAAATTGCAGATAGAGTGTATTGAATATAAGCCCTCGATATCGAAAACAGGTAGGGCTTTATAAAAAGTGGCATGTAACTCTGCTGTTTTTGGTACTAATACTTTAAAATTTTTTATTCACGGTGTATATTAATACATACATATCGTCGTTTAAAGTATAAAACCGCGTATCGTCATTTTGCAAAACCGCGTAACTGACATTTGCTGTCAAAAATTGGATTTGCTCACACAAGCTCTTGGCTCAATCCTTATCCATTCGTCCTGAAAATCGATTGCTTTACAAAAGAGAGGCCCATTTTGAAGTATGAGTGTTTTCAATCGCTAGAAAATAATTTATGCAAGCTCGCATACACGGTTTTGCATTTGTTGATACGCGATTTTGTACTTTAAACGACGATATGTATATTCTATCAAAATCTGTGAAAAACACAGTTTCGAAAAAGTGTTGGTTTGGGCCTTAGTGAATTAAGGTAACGATATGTGCATACATACTACATATTTATCGGTATCGATGCTGGCAACTTCCACGATATCATTATACCGATATTTATTGCTATTAATATCGGTAGNAGTGTTGGTTTGGGCCTTAGTGAATTAAGGTAACGATATGTGCATACATACTACATATCTATCGGTATCGATGCTGGTAACTTCCACGATATCATTATACCGATATTTATTGCTATTAATATCGGTAGAACATTCAATGTATTTGCAACATTGTTATCGTTAAGTTTATTCTCATTTGGCAAAATTTTAAAACTTTATTATAAGATATTCTTTTTAGCTTATACATTGTTAATATGTGAATATTTTTTTTTTAACCCGAGCTTTTTAGCTTATACATTGTTAATATGTGAATATTTTTTTTTTTTTTTTTTTTTTTTTTTTTTTTTTTTTTNCAGATATGAATATTGTGTACTGCATACTATTTACAGGTACTTAGTTTAAAAATTAATTACATTATTTAATTAAATTGGTGCCGTTGTTGTTGCGGTTCAAACAAAGTATCACCGTTGTTGTTTATGCCTTGGTTTGTATATAATATTGCTGCAACTCAGTGCTGCATCAATTATTAGTGCTCAATCTGGTTCTCAAGTCAATCCTAGTTGAAACGACTTGACGGTACATACGCATTGTATTCGTCCCTTTTCTTCTCACCCTACTCTTCCACATGCGAGCGGAATTGAATTCAATACTTGAAATGTGTAAAAGCACTCTTACCACGATTTTGCAAGTTCTAAACACATAAGTTGAAAAGATAACGGTGAAATGAAAAAAATTATCGATAGCATTTTGAATATTTAGCAGCAAATGCAGATGTACTTATATATCGAGAGAACATTCCCAGAAAATTCCTCAAAATAAAAATCCTAAAAAAATACTCAAAGCCACCCAAATTCAACACGTTTTCAAGAATTACTTGCAAAATGGCAACACTGCAGTGGCAGCCAAGAACAGGGTGCTTATGATGGCTTAAAATCTTATTTATAGTACTTGCCAGTGTTGCCAGAAAAATTCGTTTGGAGCTAAAGCGGTCGAAAAAGAGCTGAATAAAGCGAAGCGCACATTAGCGCGATTCCATCGTTGCGAATACGTTGCGAATTCGGCTGTTAACTTCGAATCCGCAAACGTGCGCACACTTGAGCGATTTTTTCGCGTCGATTTCCGATGTACAATTCACTCAATTTTCCCTTTATTTCGTGTATTTTCGCACTCGGCGTGCCCAAATCGTACAAAATACTATTATTACGAACGTTTTTATTAGTTTTTGTACATTACACTTTTTTTTCTTTGCCTTTATTGCTGTGACACCTTTCTTCTTCTTCTTTGACGCCTTCAAAACGCTGCAAGCCGCGTTTCGAACGCGTCAATAGAGAGGAACATTGAATGTTCGAAAAATTCGCAGCGACGGAATCGTGCAAGTGTGCGCTAGCGCATTAAAATGTATGGGTAGCATTGTTGTAATTTTTGGGCTTGCGGATTCGCAACGACAGAATCGCGCCAATGTGCGCTTCGCTTAATACTAATTCCAGATAAAATGAAGAGCAAATTTTTTTTTCAAGTTGAGCATTTATTGACGTAAAGTTGTTTTTACATTTTCCGCAATTTTAATAAACACAACGAATTTTATAAATTTAAGTGCTGAAAAAACTTTTAAAACCAAAATAAGGTGCATATATTTCGAATTCTTTGCTCCGGCATTTATGTATTTGTATGCATCATTTTTTCGCAAAATTTTTCTGAAAAGTTTTATTTTCTTCTCTCCTTAAGGTAAAATTATTTAGGTAAAAAAAATTCCGCGGAATTCAGAAAAACGCCTTTCTTCTAATAAATTTTTGAATTCTTTAACTTAGATTCAAGAGTTTATGGTGGAGTCTGCATTTTTCTGTGGATATAAATATGTGCTTTTCCGCTGCATTCCGAAATTTATAGTTTTATCCATGATAAAAACATAGCAAGGTAGAACCGTTCTCTCAATTTGTCGGCCATGATTTTTTTTTGAGGTTTGCCAACATTTTAAAATCATTTAAAAGTGAAAATAAAAATTGAAATTGTTCGAAATTGTTGTTGCTTAAGATTGAAAATGAAAATGTGTGTGTGAGTTTGTGAGTAAATTTAAAAATTAAATTGTTTGGAAACGTCAAGAATTTTAAAAGTGACTCTCAGCGGTTCTACCTTACTATATTTTTATCATGGTTTTATCAACGCTTAGATTTTAGAATTCCTTTTCTACCGTGGTTGCCTGAGAGAAAATAAACTGAGCTTATCGGAGCTCGAATTACTGCCCGGTACAGTTTGTGTACTTGCCCATTCTCTATTTCCTTACGCGCCATTTGTATTAGGGATGTAACTTTTCTAAATATTAATCGAAATAGAATTACATGAAGGTATCGGAAATAGCCTGAGGCCACCAAAGCCAAATAAATGCTAGTCAACACTTATACAGTGAAATTACAGATATCTAATTTTACTACATATATTGCCAAATACACCTCAAATTTTCTGGAGTTAAAAAATTGTTAAATAATTTTGGAAAGGGCTAGGAGCTAAAGCCCAATTTTCGGAGCTAAATAGAAAAATAAAAAGCTAAATTTAGCTCAGGATCATAATGGCAACACTGGCACTTGCTTGCTTTTCCCAGGGTGTACTTGATGAACCTTTTTTCGTATTCTGCTTTCGAAAAAATTGTTTGATGACGCATTTCCGAACGTTGTTTTTTGCAACTATTCGATTTTTTTGTGCATTGATGAATGATAAGTTTATTTAATAATATTGCGCAATAGTTTCTGCCGACCGTTAAAACATTTTATTTTAATTATATTATTATTCGGATAACAACCAGGTAAATATTTAACACATGTAATTAAAAAAAAATACTATTTTAAAGCTTAAATTAACAACAGTTGTCAAACAAATATGCAGTTGCTAATTTTAAAGAAATTGACAGAGTTTACGTAAAAAAGTTATATAAAACTTATTGTAAAATTTGTCTATAATCTTTCAGATACATACATATATGTAAATCTATGCATATGAACNCTCTGGGCCAGGTGAATAGAATGTAACGATTTCCAAAAGCCAAGACACTATAAGAACAACGCCCAAGAAGCTTATACATTTGGCACTAGAAAAGAAAAATTTGAAACTATTGTGGAGTGGAAAACGGTTAAGGTTTTTGCACTTACTCTTTTTTTACTTCTTCATACTTCATTTCATCGATTTCTGTAGCTACATTCGTATAAAGCGTTCCATTTTTACTACTATTTTTGGCTGATGTATCTGATTTACGCTTCTTAATCCTTTGAAAACCGAAGAAGGATATCATCATCACGATAAATGATAAGAACAGAAATGAGGATACTGGCGGTATGAAGTAACGTTGAGACTCGCGAATGGCTGAAAAGTGATAGAAGTGAATGTATGTAAATACATATTTTTTAAATACTTCCAACTTAATAATGCTTTAGTATGATTTAAGTATCTATGTGTGTAACTTCATTCCTATTTAATTTTTATATTTTTTTCGATGTTAAATTTGTCGAAATTTCATTCCGAAAAACTTACACGCTGTCAAACCCTGCATAAAGTAGGATGGCATACCGGGTAATCCTTTATGCACAGTCATAGCAACTAATGATCCTGCTATGGTGCAACAGATCAAAAGATTTACGCCAAAAACCAACCACGTTTGTACTTTCGTACGCCTTTTGTTCTTTGGGATTCGATACCTAAATTTTGTGTAGTAAACAAAAAATTTTTAAATCCAATTTAGCTCAAGCATCTAATTATTAAACTCCTCTAGCATACCAAATATTCACCAGTACATTCCAGCAGAGACAAAAGAACCATATAAAGTAGGATAACATAAAAAATTGTATCACGTAACCCGTATTCTTGGAATCAATCTTGAAAATATGCACCAACGAGTGAAGAAAATAGCCCATTGCCAAGCACATTGACAACAGACTCAAACACAGGCCATGCACTGTACGCAGTTCTTTCAGTCTTATATGCAAGTAGCTGACAATCAATAAACACGGTATGGACACAAGCATCAAGGCGGCAATGGCAATCATTTGACCACGCTTCAAATGTTCCTCAATAGCTGTAATGCAGGTGATTGCATAGGTTATGCCGGACACATTGTCCATATCGAGGCAATAGTATTTTTCCACTGTGTAACTGTCGTTTCCATATTTGTCCATGATGAGCAGTGAGCCATCTTGTAAAACGAAAAATGTATCATCTTCGTCATTGTAAATTAAGGACCTTTGAGAAATGGGATTAAAAGATTGAAAGCTATGAAATCGAAAGGAAGAATAGTTAAAACTAAAAAAATTTATAGAACGGTAAAGGTATAAAATCAGAGCTGGGTCGTAATGATTCCTTTAGGAATTAAATTACTCCCAATTACAGATTACAAGGAATTGTAATTAGGAATCAATTCCTTCAGTCCACAGCAAAGGAATCGAATACTTTTTCAATTCCTTGAAGTAATTTCAAATGTAATAGGGTTTTTCTTTAATTCCATTACAAGGAATTTCATATTGTAATTGGAATAAATTACGTGCTAGTAATGTAATTTTTTTTCCAATTCCTTTGAAAGGAATTGAAAATGTAATTGATTTTTTTTTCAATTCCATTACCTGGAATTGCAAGAGTACTTTAGTTTTTCCAATTACTCAAAGGAATTGTAAAAGTAATCGAGAAACTGAAAGTTCATTCACGAATATACAATGTGGAATTTTTGTTGTGGTCAAAGATTAAAATCGAAAGCACACATTGGACATCTTCTATGTATATCTATATATATATATATAAATGTTGTGTTCGTATGTCACGGTCATCAAAACCCGAGAATGCTGAACCGATTTGAATAATATTTTTTTTATTATTCGGAACCAGAACCAATGATATCGCAAAAATTTGGTGGGTTGCCACCTATTTTAAAATTTAATTAATTTAAAATCAATGAATTATTACAATATGGGTATTAAGTTAAAGAGGTTTAAGAAAGATAACTGCTGGAAGTATTTTTGACGAGGGTGGCCTCCTATTTGAAAATTTAAACTCAGTCAAATTGTTAAAAAAAAATGAAATATTGCCATGTGGGTGTCAAACTAAAGAGTTTTAAGAAGGCTTACTGCCGAAAATATGTTTGAGGAGGGTTGCCATCTGTCTGAAAATTTAACTAAATTAAATTAATAAAAAAAATAAAAAATTATAATATGGGTATCAAATTAAAAAGGTTTGAGAAAGATAACTGTTGGAAATATTTTTGAGGGGGCTGCCACCTATTTGGAAATTGTAACTTAGTTAAATTGATAAAGTAAATGCAATGTTGGCATGTGGGTGTCAAACTAAAGAGTTTTAAAAAGGCTTACAGTCTACCATGAACACTTCCAGAAATATGCAATATGAAAAATTCGGTTTGTATGGGAGGTGCCACGCCCCCTTCCTATGTCGAAACTTTTTTTTAGCTATAACCATCCTTGGAAAGCCTGCAGTAGATTCCGAAATTTCAAAAAAATCGGTACGGCCTTTCTCGTGCTTTGCGAACAGAAAAAAACGCCTTTCAAAATATATATTAGTATAGACTAGCCAAACTCTGCTTGTTTTGCGAGTTACAACACTACTACCGATGAAAATCGATGGATAAATAAACNAAAAAAATCAATTACATTTTCAATTCCTTTCAAAGGAATTGGAAAAAAAATTACATTTTCAATTCCTTTCAAAGGAATTGAAATAAAAGAAATTACATTACTAGCACGTAATTTATTCCAATTACAATATGAAATTCCTTGTAATGGAATTAAAGAAAAAAACAATTCCATTTGAAATTACTTCAAGGAATTGAAAAAGTAATCGATTCCTTTGCAGTGAACTAATGGAATTGAATCCTAATTACAATTACTGAGGAATGTAATTGTAATTGTAATGTAATTGCATTTACCCAGCTCAGTATAAAATACAATCTATATATCGATAAGCACTTCGACACGATAAAAGTGTTTATTTCTATAAAAGTATCGAAAAAATATTGATAACTATGACACATGCATATATCAATAAGGAATGAACAGATTGAAAATAACAATAGCTAATATAGAAGAGGTTTATGGTTGAGGTTTTTTGAAAAATCGACTGTCCGCCTATTCGGTTAGTCGAATTGTCGATTAGCAATTTTTTGTATCGATTTATAGCCGAATGGCAATTATTCGTTTAACTACTTTTGTTAATCGATTAGTCGTATCTTCAATTAACAAGAATTCTAGTTTATGATCGGATAAATTATATAAAATTCAGTCGGTAAAAATAAATAAATCGGTAGCAATGTCGATAAATTTATGGATGAAGACTTCCATGCAATAGCTGTACATATTGTATCTATAAAAATATTCAAAACGTATAAATAAGTATTTTAGTTTAGGGGGTTTCTAAGCGATTCCCACTTAAAACAGATTTTTTTAACGAAAATCCATTGTGTTTTTATTGTTATCGTCGGCCTTTTTTGTCGATATTGTTATCGGTATTATTAACAGTATTTTTATCGATATCGCTATCGTGTCTCCCAAATCCGTTTCCCAATTTGCGTACTTTCACCAGACAATGATAATGTACTGTACCATACAGCTGTTAAATATTTCAATGCTTGTAACAGTGAAATCGAAAATTGTTAAGCAAATTTCATCAGCAACAGCAATGCCAACACCAGAGCTAAATGTTAGTTTGCTAAATCCGACGATATTTCCCATTAAAAACTTGTTGCTGTTATGAGATTCGAACCCAAACCTGTTGCCTAATACGCATCGCTCATTAAATTAAAATACTGTTCACTTAACTTAGCACAGTGGCAAAGTAAAGTATGTAAAAGAAATGGAAAGTTTCTGAGGTTAACTTAACATTTAGAGTTGACTAACCAGGTAAATGTTAACAGCGCAAATTCTTCCTCTTCCTTTATGTATCGCGGACACTAACCACGCACACCTACATACGTACATATACATATATCATGAATGTAAAAAGAAACTTTACCTAATATTATTGCAGGCACAATTTTGGGATTTTTTTTTTCTTGTCATGCATTTTTTATCATTTGAATCGCCACCTATTTATTTTAGATAGTCATAAAAGTATTTATGTGCACAGTTTACTTACGAATTGCAGGGATTCCCAATTTCATACTGCAACTCCACCACAGCCTCATCATCCTCAATACAATTGTCATATAGAATTGCGCTTATAATACTGGGCTCAAAATGAAAATTTGTCGAATCGCAAAATTCATCGGTTTGATTCTCACGGAAAATACTTAAGCCCTCGCCATGGGGGCAGCATTTCTTCAGTCTCGAATTTTTAGTATGTAGCGGCTGTTCCACTTTCTTATTGCGTTGGGAGCAGTCCTCGGGCACAGCAATGCTTTTCACATATTGTAAAGGCACATCCGTGCTAGTGCGATAGTTTGAAGCTTCATCCGCTGCTGCAGACTCAATCGAATTTCTATTAAAAATAAAAAATAAAAATTAGAATAATTTAAAGTATAGTCAGGTTGAGGCCACGCAATGAGCGGCAAGCGCCTCAACGGCTGAGCAGCGCCATACAAAAATGCCGCTCAGCCGTTGAGGCGCTTGCCGCTCATTGTGGGGCCTCGGCCTTACTCGTATCTAATTGTTTGTTTGTCACATGTATGTATATCGTCGGCTGGGTAAAAGATTGTCGTATGTTAATTTCGGCAGGTTGTGGGAAATTGCAATTGAAGTTTGGAATGCAATTTCTCAAAAACGCGAAGATAGATTTGCTCCAAAGTCTCTGGAAATGTTACTAGTTCACAAAATTCTTAAATTATTTAATTTGTAATGTTTATTGTCAATTAGTTTTGATTTTATGAAGGATTTTCTTTGGTAAAATGTTGTCGTAAGCGTCATTTGTTCACAATTTGGCAGCCACTCTTTATGAAATGCGACAAAATGTGATCAAAATGTCTACTAAATTAACGACACGTTTTACTCAATGTCTCGGAAACTAAAGGAGATATCGAAAAATGGAGAACGCCATTTTTAATTGATTGATTAGTTTAATATGACTGCATCACCAACTAAATTTTTACTTAGTTCAGTCAATATCTCGGAAACTAGAGGAGATATCTAAAAACTGATAACACCAATCGAAAAACTTTATTTCAAAATATATAACTGCATCTAAAACTAAAAATCGTCAAAATGGCGCTTACGGCAATCTTTTACCCAGGCGACGATATGTACAAACTCTTGGTCTGAAAAAACGTAATTTTCTACCCAAAAACGTCTTTTCAAATGTATGCACACAGAATTGTTCTTATTAAACTTTTATTGTATACAAAGGTACATAAGTATGTATGTAAGGTATAATAAAATGTCATTTCGACAGAGCACATTTACAATTCATTGTAAACTGGTTTGAGATCGTTAATATAAAAGTCATTTTACACATACCTTGTGATCAGCTGATTCAGTCAGCAACATTTTGATCGATTGTGGCTGTTTTTCTTTTGTTTAATTAATGTTTATTAATTTTCCATAAAAGCCTAGATCATTATATAACAAACAGAATATAAATCCACATTTCAAACTTTGTCCAAAAATTATAAAAAAATCTGCAAAGTTTCAGCTAGATTTTCAACTTTTTATTCAGATTTTTAAGAATGTTTTTTTTTGAGTATTCAGCTTGATAACCCATTCAATTCCAAGGTAATAATGTGCAAGTTGTAAGTTGCTAAATAATCGCGTTGTTTTTTAATATTTTTTTTTCTTGTAGACATTTGGATAGGTGGATGCTAAATTACGTTCTGCTAAGAACATATTCAATGAAGCCTTAAAAAGTCGTCTACTTTTTTCTAACTTTTTATGCTGCTACAGCTTTTTTGATGCTTTTGCGAGCGTGCGTGTTGCAATAGATCAGCTCTCCTGATTTGGCTTTTAATGTAATGTAAAATCAGCCAAGAATTCAAAAAAATGCGCGTACGCTTGGTTTGCGTCATATTTAAGTCATCTGTGTCCAAAAAATAAATATCTTTTTAAAAAAACAAAGCTTGCAAAAAAACAAAGCTTGCAAAGGTTTATTAAGAAAATAAATCAAAATCAAGATTTAGTAACAGAGAAAAATTACTGAGAAGTTAAAAAACGTAATTTTTTACACAAAAAGCGTCCGAACATCAACAGGATACAAAAAACTTCCAAATGTGGTAAAAAAATGTCAACCTGGCAACGCTGGTTTTTGTATAAATGGATATGTGGCAATCCGGACACCATTCGATTTTCGATTATTTTCTCAATTTTTATGTTTGCGTGACGACGCACGCAAAAATTACGAAGCATGCTTTTTCTCGCATGCTCTCGCTTGCTTTCAACCGTCATTTTTGTTGTTTGACATCTATGTTCTCATTTCGCAGAATTCTTCAGAGTAGCAACATCGTTTATTATGGAGGCAAATACAAATTTAGAGGCAACCATTTTTCATTTGAAAATAGTATACATCTCTTTTTGCAGATTTTCTAATTTTCTCAAACTTTTAAGCGCCTGCAAGGCTTGAACCTTCTTGTTTGGCGACATTTTACAAATGAAAAAGTATGCTGTCAAATGCCCAGCCAACAAAACTCTATCTCGCTTGCGAGAGAAAAAAGCAGAACGCAAGCGAAATTTTCAAGCATGTGAAGACGGCCGGTTATAGTACCAATTCAGAGAAGACTCCCTAATTTTTTTTTTTTTAATTTTTTATGTCTAGTCGTTTTTGAGATACCGATTTTATAAAAAACGTTAATTTTTTAATGGGTATTAACCAGGGAACGGATTTTATGGAAATTGCCTTTTTTATGCTAAAGAGATAGAGTATATTCGATTAAGAATGTCCACGATTTAGATTTCCCTGATTCCTTATATACACATTTGATGTTGCCTTTTTTAAGATATTTATCTTTTTTTGCCTTTTCTTCCTTTAAAAAGTGATTATAGCATTAAAGTTTTTCNCTGTCAAATGCAAAACTGGGAGTGAGTGTAAAACTGTAACATCTGCCTTAATTTACATTTTTGTCTGCTGGTTTTTTTATTGTTGTTGCATTGACTTCAAATCATTATGAGAGAGGGAGTAGGGATGTACCAACAAGAATATACAACAAAAGTAAGAAAGTCGTTAGAACTTGGAAAGATAGCGATGGCTGAAGTAAAAAGTGTTACACCATGTTACAGTTTTGCCCGTCACTGTACGTCGAGCACACATTTAGTACATTCAAGGCTTTTCTTCGCGAAAATCGTATGAAAATGCTGCCAGAAAACTTCAAAATGCCTCTTGTGGTTCAATGTTACTACAACTATACAGATTAAAGTCTTATGAGTTAGAAACTCGAAAGGATAAAATAGCCAAAGATTCAAAGTACAAATTTTTTCATATAATGAAACTAGTTAATAGTTTTTCTCTGTTTACTTGTAATATAAACATTTCTAAAATAAATATATTTTTTGATCGTTCTTCGTATTTTCTGTCTTTTATTATTAGTGCCTTATTTTGCAATACCTAGTGCCTTTTTCCGCCTTTTTCGCTTTTTTTTTGCCTTTTTTGCAACACCTAGGGCCTTTTCCTGCCTTTTTCGCTATTTGATTTTGCCTTTTCCAGCCTATTTCGTTATTCTATTTTGCCTTTTTTATAGATTTTTAGGTCCTAAAAATTCGTTCCCTGCTCATAACTTTGCGAAAAATGGACCGGTTGGGATTGTTTTAATTTTTGAAATTTTTCGTTTTGAAAACACTTCGAATATAAAATCGAAAATCGATTTTCTTGAACATTTTTTGTTGAAAACTTTTACCCATTCTGCAACGCCTAAGCCTATTCCTATTATTTCCAACTTTTTAAGTTAATGAAAAACTAACAAATTTTATCCAATTCACCGCCAAGAATTCTCGCTGCGTCCAATCAGAATCTGTTTATTAGATGCGTTAATCAAAAAGATAAGCATTCCGCATTCTAGAGGAAGAAATTATCTACATACATAATTGCAGTGGGTAGTACTACGCTACGACTAATCAGTTTGGCGTAATCATTTGTTATCGTTTTCATTAAAATTTGTTCAAACGCTTGGACACGCATACATGGCGTATGAGTAATATTATTTCTTCATATTTCATACAAAAAAATCATCGATTTACCAGTCGATTACGCGAAAGTGACAAGTCGCGATTTCTCGAAAACGGCTGGCTAAAAAAATAGTCTGTTCCAATAGCAGTCCAGTTTACATGATTTATTCAGAACTTACAGGAAGTCGTTCCTATTGACATGAAACCTGTAAGAGGGAACACTTTTGAGAGAACAGTCCTAGTCGGTTAGTCCTAGCTACTTCAAACTTGTACTTTAGTATACTAAGATGTAACCAATTTTTTGTAAAATATTTTAAAAAAATTTGTAAAAATCTCGAGAAAAGTATCCTACAAATGTGTGATGCTACTCCAAGTGTGCTGTTTCAAGGCTAGCACATTTAGGATCATTTAACATGGTTTCAAGATCTTTTAGCTGTTGTGGAAATAATTCGCAAAATTATTTTTGTCGCGATCACTTTTGGAAATCACTGTATGTAAGTATACAAATACATACATCT